AATAAAAATTATTTAAAATATATAAAAAAATAATCTGTAAAAAAAATTTATCTGATATAAAATATAAAAAAACGATACTCTCTTTTTGCGATTAATAATTTCCACTATAATAAAATTAAGTGGAAATTATTATTAATAAATATTTATATTATTCATGGTCTATGTTGAACTTACATTGGTTCTAACCTGTAATTAGCTTCAGTCATTCCAGAGGAATTAACACGGCTCACCAATAAATCTTTCGATGAACTTGCGCTTGCTGTGTCATAACTATTATCTTCTTTTTGTGATTGTACTATTCTATTTTCATTGTATTGCTCATTGCTATTTGTCACTAAAATAGGACCTCTTCCGCTATCAATTTTTTTACTAAACCTGTTATACATGTTATTAGGATCGCTTCTGTCTTCTTCATTCTCAATATTATTTTGAATATTATTATTATGAAGCATTTCCGAAGAAATTAACATTTCCGGAGTAATTATATTTTCTAATTTCACTATCGATGGATTGTTATTCAAAACTTCTGTAGTAAGTCCATAATTCTCCAAATCAACTGAAGCCACATCATTAGAACCGATGGAATCATTTTTCAATAAACTCACAGGCTCATCTTCATCGGTAGATACTTCAAACATATGCAATATTTCTCTATAAATAAAATCAATTTCCATTTTTATTTTAGAAGCTCAAGTTTAAAGTTTTCTCTTATCTATATAAATTATTAAATACTCAAATATATTATCATATTCCAATAAAATAGTGAAACATAAAAAAAAATTGTATGTTACAAGACAGAACATAAGAGATAAAAATTCATGCAATCTATTATACCATTCAAAAGAATATTATAATACAATAGCTATCAAATAAAGATAATGTTTATAGATCAATATATTAAAGTAAAATTAAATATATTAAAGTAAAATTAAATATATTAAAGTAAAAAATTAAATATATAAATGAAAAAAAACTTCTTTCCTAATAGCAGAAGAATATCACATCTTTCTTCCTTTCTTTTACCTTATTTTTCTTTTTCAATACATAAACAATGATATATCTTATATAGATATATAAGATTATAATTTCATTAATGCAAATTCAGAACAAACATTTATGAGGAAAAATTAATAATGTAAAGTGACAGTATTAGTTATACTAAAAAAAATTTCATTTAGATATGTGTCTAATTCAAAATGATTTATATGTATTTGTAAGCAAATTTAATTAATAATAAATTTAATTAATAGTTATTTGTTTTATATTTTGTGTGTGTGTGTGTGTGTGTGTGTGTGTGTGTGCGTGTGTGTG